CCGACTCATAGCGACCCCTCCTTGGGTTTCCGAGGCAGTATCACTACAGAAGTAGGATTGCCCAACCTTCCTTCCGAGGAGTGGCTGATGGGTTTGAACCTCCAGCTGTCTGGTTAGCAGGCAAGTGTCTTAGCCACTATGCTACCAGAGCTCCCTATGTATAAAATAGAGCTGTCAAATACAAATTTGATTTATGCCACCAAAAAGAACACCATTTAAGGCAGTTGCTTTGAATGGCACTTCTAGACCTCAGAGCACTGCCAAGGCCTGGTGATTTCAAAATCATTTTGAAATAGATGTAACAGCAGAAATAATACCTACTCTCTATACAATCCTGGAATATATAAAATGTGTAAAATTGAATCCAATTACTAAATCATATTTAAAATTCACACTATACCCAGCAGAAACTGGTTACTTTACAGTGGGGGGGAGACTTAACAACAAATATTTGGTTGCATTTTTTTTCATTAAGTTTTACCAAACAAGCTTTAAAGGAAGAGAAACTTGAGTAATTCACCTTGTCAGTTATAATTCATCAAAAATAGACTTTAACATTAGTTAAATATAACTGTTCAAATACAATTTAAGAAGTATCAAAAAAAAAAGCTCTAAAAACACAACAAATAGCAGCAGAACCACTGAATATCTGTAAACAAAACCACTGGTAAACTAAACTTACTAACAATCTACATTTTTTTAAAAGTAACAAATATATATATATAATAAAGAGAATATTGGTCAGCTTTTTTTTCCCCTAACTATACAAGACCTGAGATGTAAAATAACGTTACAATAACACAATCTGTAATAGGTGTGGTAAACAGTCTTTTGCACAACGTTCAGGTATCACGTTGCTGTGGAGGGCAAACTTTCCGTGACTCTTCTCCTCGCCGTGATCCTCGCACACCGGGGGCACTCAGAGGACTGGAAGCACTGCTTGTGAAAACAAGCTCTGCATGCTGCAAGCAAGGACAAGAGATCAGCAAACGGGCGACCTTGTTTTCTCCTATGCATATGTACAGAGCTCATCCCCATTCTGGGGAGGGCGGGGGTCTGGAATGAATTGTGTCCCCTAAGAAGAGATGTTGAAGTCCTAACCCCTGTAGCTGTAAACATGACCTTGTCTGAAAATAGGGCTTTTCTTCTGTTATCAGTTAAATTTGTTATTAAATAGGGTGGGTTTCAATCCTATAAGCCTTTCTGAATGGTGTCTTATAAAAGGGGAGAACAATGCAGAGCAAAGAAGAGTGAAGAAAATGTAAGAGTCAAGGAAAAAATTAGTGCAAAGGACTAATGGACCTCACGAACCACAGCCTCCACCAGCCTGAGAGCAAAAGAACTAGATGGTGCCCAGCTACCACTACCAACTGCTCTAACCAAGATCACCAGAAGGTCCTGGATAGTGTAGGAGAAAAATGTAGAACAAAATTCAAAATCACAAAAAAGACTAAGCTTACTAGCTTGGTAGACTGGTGGAACCCAAGACTATGGCCCTTAGATGCCCTTCAAGTCTGGAACTGAACCCACTCCTGGAGATCACCTTTCAGCCAAAAAATAGACAAGCCTCTAAAGTGAACAATAACACCTGTGAGGAATGTGGTCCTCAAAACAATTAAAAAGGCAGCGTTTGTCCGAAAACAAAGTTGAGAAGGCAGGAAAGATGGGTGAACGGAAACAAGAAACCCAGAGAAGAAGTGGGAAAAGTGCTGTTACACTGAGGGATTTTCAGCTAATATCATGGAACAAAATGTGTATAAATTGTTGAATAAGAAATTAATGCACTCTGTGAACTTTCACCCAAACCACAATAAAATGTTAACAAGGTGAAAAGGAAAAAAAAAAAAAATGCATGGGGAGGAGAAGAATAAACAAGGAAATAGTCATGCACAGGGGAAAGACAGACTGCAGACAAATGCATCTATAAGCACAAAAGGAATGCCAACTAGGTGTATATATCCTAAAGAAGGGAGAGCCGTGACAAGAACAGACATAGGCACACCCATGTTCATCGCAGCACTATTTACAATAGTCAAAAGATGGAAACAACCTAGATGTCCATCAACTGAGGAATGGATATCTAAACTATGGTACATACACACAGTGGAATACTATGCAACCCTAAAGAATAATGTAGAATCTGCAAAACACCGCATAACGTGGATAAACTTGGAGGACATTATGCTGAGTGAAATGAGTCAGGCACAGAAGGACAAAGATTGTATTAGTCCATTATTGTAAGTCAAGGAAAGGTTTATCTGTAGAAGGATATTTTCTTTGTTGGTTACCAGGGGTGGAGAGGAGGGCAGGGAACACTGTTAGATAGGTAGAGATAAGTATTGATTTGGGTGAAGAGAAGGGCAATGTACCAAATGTGAGTGATCAACATGGTAGCACTGAGGAAGAGGAAAACATAGAGAGGTACATGGGAGGTACAGACAACAAAGATGAACCCTTTTGCACATACAGTACTATGTTGTCAGTGAAGGCAAACATGAGTATATGGGTGGATAGATAGGTGGACAGGCTGAACGATTAGGTATGTCTATGAAGCAGGGAGTGTACCCAAGACCACGTATAGGGTTGGCAGACAATGGTCCTATAAGTGTATTTGTACGATCTGAATTCCCAGGTGTATAGTAGAGCTGACAAGGGGCAAGGTTGTAGTCACTTCTTGGTCACAGCCAGCTACCCAGAGGGACCACATAGTTGAAGCTGTGGGCTTGGGACCACAGTTGCAGGGGACATCAAGTTCAATTGGCATAACATACTACACATAACATTGTTCTACCTCCTACTTTGGCAAGTAGTGACTGGGATCTTAAAAGCTTGCAAGCAGCCATCTAGATGCAATCGTGGGTCTCTCTTCATGCAGAGCAAAGAAGAATGAAGAAAACCAAAGATTCATAGAAAGAATTAGTCCTAGCAACTGGTACACCATGTGATTTGTAGCCTATATGACTATGAGACCAGCAGACCTGGATGGTGCCCGGCTACCACAGTCAATCACTCGGAGGGGGATCTATGTAAGAGATCCTGGATAGAGAGGAAAAACAATGTGAAACAAAACTCAAAATCATTTGGAAAAAAAAAAGGGGTGGGGGGACCAGGTTTGCTGGTCTGATAGAGCCTGGTGGAACCACTAAGACTATGGTCCCTAGCTGCCCTTCAGGTCTGGAATTGAATCCATACCTGTGGCTGCCAGCCAAACAAAAGAGAGGCGTAAGAGTTGAACATTTACCTGAGGTAGACACACTCCTTGGAGAGAACAATGATGGGAAAAAGAAGGGCTGTTTGTGCACAGGGAGACAGCTCAGGGGGCAGGAGTGCATGGAGGGATAGCACTGGGAAGAGTTGACTATCGGGAGGAAGTGGGAGGGGAGCTGTTGCATTGTGGTAGATTGTAGTCAACGTTATGAGACAAAGTGTATGTGAACTGCTGTATGGAAAGTCAACTTGCTCTGTAAATTTCACCCAAATCACAATTAAAAAAAAAAAAAAAAAAGGAATGCCAAGGACTGCGGGCAGCCACCAGCAGCCAGGGGAGAGGCATGGGACAGTCAGTGCCTCTCTCAAAACCTCCAGAAGAAATTGATGTGGCTGAGACCCTAATTTGGATTTCTAGTCGTCAGAACAATGAGAAAATAAATTTTTGTTCTTAAAAGCCACCCATTTTGTGGTATTTCATTATGGCAGTACTAGGAAACTAAGAATGGAACTCCGGTGGCATAGTGCCTTTGACAGCTAAACAGAAGTCGGGTGGTTCAAACCCACCAGCCACTCCTAGGAAGGAAGATTAAGCAATTTACTTCTGTAGAGATACTGCCTCAGAAACCCGAGGAGGGGTCTCTATGAGTCAGAAATGACTGAAGGACAGTGATTTTGTTTTGGGAACTCTGGTAGCATAGTGCCTAAGGCACTTGACTGCTACCCAGAAGGCTGGTGGGGAAGGTTGGGCAATCTACTTCCGTAGTGATAGCACCTCAGAGACCCAAGGAGGGGTCGCTATGAGTAGGGTCCAACTCCATGACTCCACGGCACATAACAACAACAGAAAACTAAGATTCCAAGGTCTTCCCACCCACCCTCCTCAAAAAAAAAAAAAAAAAAAATCCAGGTTGTTGAAAGTCATAGGAATCAGCAATCTCCAATAGGCTGTGACATTAAACTTAGAAAGCTTTGTGCAGTGGACACAGCAGTGTGCTCATGCAATCACCCAATGATTAAGGCACGTGTTCCCCCAGCTGTGGAAATACTGATGGCTGATAGCTTTCAAGAGGCCATGCTCCTTCTCTGGAAATGGCCCTGACTGGAGAGAGCTGCCTCACCCAAGGTCCACCCTCCCTGGGGCCAGCTTACACCCAAAACCAAACCAAGTGATGGTCAATGTGGGGTTTAAAGGCCCACCTGGCCTCCTTGCCCCAACATTAGACAATGCTGAAAGTCACCCTTGACTCCAGAGCTCCCTGGGAGATGGGCTGAGGCCTTTGGTGCAACTTATTCCTCTGCCCAACCCTGCTGCTTTCAGTCCCCACAGGTGTCGAGCCTGGGAACATGCCACAGGGAACTTTCTGCACAAACCCCTGCCCTGCAACAATGATTAATGTGCTAGGAGAGTGTCTCAGTTACCCAGGACACTCAAGTAAAAGAAATACCACAAGCGGGTGGATTTAGGGAGCAGAGATATATTTTTCTCATAGTTTAGGAGGCTATAAGTTCAGATTCAGGGCACTGGCTCTTGGTGAAGTGTCTCTCTGTAAACACAGGGGGACTCCTTGTCTCCTTCAGCTTCTGTAGCCCCAGCATGCCTCAGTTCCTTGGTCATCTTCATGTGGCATCTAACTTCCCCAGTGTGTGCATACTTGTCTCTGTGTATTTGCTGCTCCTTGTAACTCACAAGTGTTTAGATTTAGGACACACTCTACACTGATACAGACTAATTAACATAACAAAGAAAGCTCTATTTCCAAACAGGATCACTTCCACAGGTTTAGGGAACAGGACTTTAACACATCTTTTAAAGGACAAAATTCAATCCATAGCAGAGACCACATTGGAGGGACCTCCAAAGTGGCCTGTCCATATTGGGGGTAGTGGCAGAATTCATAACCCAGCTCTCTTCCCTGAAACAGAGATTAGAGAGCACAGGATTCCCTCAGCATTAATATCACAGAACAAAGTCAGCAATCCTTTTCTGTAAAGAGCCAGACAGTAAATGTTTTAGGCCTTATGGGTGGTATGGCTTCTGTAACAACTACTCAACTTGTTGTGGTAGTGCACAAGCAGCCAGAGGTAATCCTTCAAAGTTGGGTTTGTCTATGTGCCATTAAAAAAGCAGGCTGTAATGTGTCCATCCCTGGTGTAGAAGAACTGGGGCACAAGCAAAGGGACCACCTCCTCCACCCAAACCCTGTATCCTTCATCCTTTATCCCTGCCCCACACAAAGTGGTGCAAATGGTTTTGTGTTTACACTCAGCTGTTAACCTAAAGGTTGGCAGTTTGAACCCACTCAACAGTGCCACAGAAGAAAGGCAAACTGCTTCCATTAAGATTACAATGAAGAAAACCCATTGGGGCAGTTCTACATTGGGGTTAACATGAGCAGAACTGACTCAAAGGCAACAAGTTTGATATTGGTTTGTGTGTGTGAGCACCACTATTACCTCCAATCCAACATGTAAGCATACACCAGCCTCATTATGGTTAAAGAAGGAATACTGTGTGTAAAGATACCTGAACATCTTCTACACGTTGCAGTCTGAAAGGGGAAGATGACAGCTGTGCTCTGGCAAAATTCACAAATGAAGCCCCTTCCTTGACAGAGCTGAGAGAGGAGTCAACAGAGGTTAAAATCATCACCAGAAATGTCTCTTAAGATAGAGAAACTGACTTACCACTTTACAGAACTTCATAAGCATCACTTTTTGAATGTCTATGTTTCTGACTTCCAGAAGTGAATGGATTGTATCTCCTATAGCAATTATGTATCAGCACATTGATTCTGCACAGAGAAATTTCATATCTAGGCAGTTTGAGGCACCAGAGAAAGATCATGATTTTAAATGTGTTCATCTTTCTTTTTTCCATTATGGTAAAACATATAACATTTGCCATTTTAATCATTTTTGAGTACATAATTCAGTGACATTATGCTTACCACATTGTGCAACCATCACTACTGTCCATTTTCAAATGTTTTTCCATTGCTGTAAACAGAAACTCTGTGCCTCTTAAGTAATAACGACCCATTCACTCCTCCTTCATCCCAGCCCTCCAACCCTGGTCACCACTAATGAACTTTGGTCTCTATGCATTTGCCTATTTCAGAAATTTCAGATAAATGAGGTCATATATAAGGAGCTCTGGTGGCGTAGTGAATGAGGAATTTGGCTGCTAACCAGATGGGTCAGCAGTTCAAATCCACCAGCAGCTCCAAGGAAGAAAGATGGGTGATTTACTTCTGAAAAGATTTACAGCCTTGGAAACCCAACGGGTATTGCTATGAGTTGGAATCTACTCGATGGCAGTGAATTTGGTTTTGTTTTTTTGGGGGATCATACATAGTATTTCTCCTTTTGTGTCTGACTTCAAATGTGTATTCTTAAATCATCTTTTTCTTTCTTTTCCCCTACACTACAATTATTTGATCTATGTGGACACAGCCCCTCCTGTCCTGATAATCCTAAATCCATGTACTTGAACTTGGCAGCAGGGGGCAGTAAGAATCAAGGAAGGCCCCAGGCAAGGGTGGGCACCCAAGCTAAGAAGTCAGCTGACCCTGACCTGCATCCCCACTCTGCCACTTACCAGGATGATGATCCTGGTTCTGAGCCTCAGTTTTCTCATCTGTAAATTTCCCCATCACTTCCCATGGGACTTGTGAGGGCTAAAGGAGGCAATGTGCAGAACACCCCAGCATATCTCTGGCATATAAGGGACAATTCAGGGATGCACCTGTGTTCAGCAAACCCTCACCTCACAGCCGGCCACATGCAGGAGGGAAGCTTTCAAAAGCTCCTTCAGCAGCGGCGCCAGTAGCCCTCTCTTGATCCTGATCAAGTCGTCCAAGGAAAACAGGTGAAGTTCATCAGTCAAATGTCTTGGCACCCGCTCAAACTCCTTTAATGTGCTGCCAGAGAGGAAACAAAAAGGAATTCCAGAAACCACCCACACAGCGGCAAGGAGAGAACTGAGGCCAGTTGTTTTCTGCAGGTCCTCACGCTTAATTTTTTTTTTTTTTTTTAATTCAACTAAGGCCTGGCTCTTTGAAACCGAGGGGGTTATGGTCATTCCACTCCCAAAGGCCATGGTCCTACCCTTTCAGGCTGAGGCAGCTCTGCTTCCGTTTCCTTGGTTTCTCCACTTCTGCCGATTAATGCCGAAGGCAACCCACTCTGCTGGAAATCTTCCTGCCCCAAAAGCACTCAGCGTTCTTGCTCCATGGGCCAGCCAACCTGCTACTCCATTTCATGCTGATCTCTTCACCAATTAATGCCCAAAGGCAACCCATTCCACCAGGAAGCCGCCTACCCAGTGGCACCCGGCTTTCTCCTCTGTGGGCTGGTAAGGCTGTTGCTGTTTAATGCTGGTCTCTGGGCTCTACTACTGCTGTTTCTCATGCTGGCCTCTCTGCCAGTATCTCTCTGCCAAGTCTCTTGGCTCTGCTCCTGCCATCTCTCATGCCACATGCCAGGGTCTCTCTGCCAGGGTCTCGGGTCAAGGATGCACTCCACTCCTGTTTCCACATTTTAGGTATCTGTCAGAGCAGCACCCCACTCTCTCAATACCAAATTCTGTTCTGGTTACCTAGTGCTTCTCTAACAAGAATATACCATAAATGGGATAGCTTGAACAAACAGGAGTTTATTCTCCCACAGTTTGGAGGCTATAAGTCCAAGTTCAAAGTGCCAGGCTCTAGGGGCTATGTGAAAGCCCCTCGACCTTGGGCTTAAGTTCTGCCTCTTAGTCCCGGGCCACTGAAGCTAGAGACATCTCTTCACTCGGGCAGCTACTGGCTGCTGAGGCTAATAAGCCCAAGGTTGACAAATCAAATAGCAAAGTCCCAATGTTACCAAACCACATGGCAGGCCATTACCTCAAGTCCATTTTTTTTTTTTAAGTCCCAAGGTTGGCAGAGCATGGCAGGCTGCTGAACAATGACACAGCTACATGCAGGGTCCAAGTGTGCCATAAGCTAGAGACCATTCCCAAAGCTGCTTCTTATATATGGGAAGCAGACTACATACCCAAAGGCAGCTATTCAGCTGCCTCACAGTAGATTCCACCATGGAGTTGATTACCAGTCTCATCATGGGAAATATTACATCCAGCTGCCCAGCCACTCAACCAGGCCTAGCCAAGTTGGCACACAAACATAACCACCACAAATAAAAAGAAATCTTCCCAAGAAAAACAGTTAACCTTGTCACTACCCCTTTATATTTTGCAAGTTTGCTTGGAAGCTATGAAATTAAAATTCCATAGAAGCTTCTTCACAAAGCTGAACAAGCAAAGAAATGTGTCTCTTGTAGCCTTCCCATGAACACAGCAAAAGGAAACCGTTTTTCTGGGTTTTAAAATTGTGTAACCTGTGAACTTAATCAAAAAGGAGAGACAGAGACAGAGAGAGACAGAGAGAAATGTACTGCTTAGAGAGACTGTCATCTGAGAGACACGGCTGGCTAAGAGACACAGCCGGCTGAAAGATACCAAGCATGTTCCTAAACTTGAATTGTAGCCTGTTGCCTCCCTAATAAACTCCATAATTTGTGAGTTCTGTGTGGCTACTGCAGCAAACTACTGAACCCAGCAGAGAGGTGGTGGGTGCTGCAGGAGGGATAGTTGGTATTAATGATAGTAATAGGGCCGGAAGGTGGTGGCATGTGTGGCATCATAACAGGCCTTGGGCTGCTGATGGTGATTCTGTCTTCTTTTTGTGGAGTTAGAGGAGGTCAGGAGATGCCACCTCCTTGCCCCTTTGGCACAAAAGCAATACATCATCATCAAATAAAATAAGAAAGTAGAAAAAGCTTTAAAAAAAATTTAAGCAAAAATAAAACCACATGATCCCACCATCTATAACAAAGTAATCTTACCTTCTTCCCTTGGGAAATCTACTCTTCTTCTATGTAATATATTGTGAAACCCTATTTATGTCAATAAATTCAGGCCTATACCTATATTGGCTGTATAGTTTCTATATTGTTGTTGTTGTTGTTATGTGCCGTCGAGTCGGCCCCGACTCATAGAGACCCCTCCTTGGGTTTCCGAGGCAGTTTCTATATTATAGATACGGTATTAACCATTATTTTATAATTAAGCACCTAGATTTTTAATACCTATCTTATTATCATTTAATTACTCTTTAACTAAATCTCTGACCACATCTCTAGTTAAGCCTTTAGGATAAACTTCTAGAAGCGGAATTTCTGGAGGCCATGATCTCTCCATCGTTTCATAAGAGGTTAAAGAAAAAGTCACTGACTAGAGTTGTTGCATCTTATACTGCCCATTCTTCTAGCTCTCTTTAAATTTTATTTATTTTGTTGTTTTTGTTGAGAATATACATAGCAAAACATACACCGATTCATTTCTACATGTACAATTTAGTGACACTGATTACATTCTTCAAGTTGTGCAACCATTCTCACCCTCCTTTTCCGAGTTGTTCCTCACTCATTAACATATACTCACTGCCCACTAAGATTTCTATCTAACTTTTCCCAGTTGCTGTTGTCAGTTTGATCCCATATAGATAGCTCTTAAAAGAGCATAATGCTGAAGGCAGACCTTTTTTACTAGTGAAGTATTGTTTGGTTTGAAGAAGACTTCAGGGGATATTTTTCATTTAAGGTTTAAAGATTATCTTAGGGCAATTCTTTCAGGGGTTCATCCACCTCTGTGACTCCAGAAAGTCTAGAGTGTACGAGAATTTTAAATTCTGTTTTGCATTTTCCCCCTTTTGATCAGGATTCTTTTATGTAATCTTTTATCAAAATGGAAGCCAGGCCCCATCCAGTTCTTCTGGTTCTATGGCAAAGGAAACAGTTGTTCATGGAGGCACTTAGCCACCCATTCCATATCCTCGTCCTGTTCCTGATTCTCCTACTTCCTCTGTTGCTCCAGGCAAATAGAGGCCAACTTTTGTGCCTTGCTTGGATGGCCGCCAGCAAGCTTTTAAGGTACCATGCGCTACATGCAAAGAACTAGGAGGTAGAAAAGAAACACTAAATACATTATTAAGCCAATTAACTGAGATGGTCCATGAAACCATAGCCCTAAACCTCCAACCCAAGAAACCAAATCATATAAGGTATTTGGTTGTACATAAGCAGCCTTTACATTTAATTTTTTTTAATTATGTAAAATATATATGACACAAAATTGGTTATTTTAACCATTTTAAGTATATAATTCAGTGGGACTAAGTACATTCCATGGATGTCAGAAGGGACTCTGAAACTTGCTCTTGAATGTAGAGTAGCTAAAATGATGGGAGAAATGATGAAGTAGAAGAGCTAAACAGAAGTTTTCAAAAGGCAGCTCAAGAAGACAAAGTAAACTATTATAATGAAATGTGCAAAGACCTGCAATTAGAAAACCAAAAGATAAGAACATGCCAGCATTTATCAACTGAAAGATTCGAAGAAAGAGCTCAAGCCTCAAGTTGTAATTCTGAAGTATTCTATGGGCAAAATGTTGCACAACACAGGAGCATTAAAAAAAAAAAAAAAGGAAAGAATATACAGATGTACCAAAAGTAAATAGTCAACATTCAACCATTTCAAGAGGTAGCTTATGTGCAACAATCAGTGATATTGTAGGAAGAAGTCCAAGCCACACTAAAGGCACTGGTGAAAAAGAAACTCCAGGAATTTAAGGGATAGCAATTGAGATGTTTCAACAAATGGATGCAATGCTAGAAACACTCACTCATCTATGCCAAGATATATGAAAGACAGCTACCTGGCCAACCAACAGGTATAGATCCATATTTGTGCCCATTTCAAAGAAAGGTGAGCCAGCAAAATGCATAAATTATCAAACAATATCAATACTATCACATGAAAGTAAAAGTTTGCTGAAGATAATTCAAAAACAGTTGTAGCAGTACACTGACAGCCAGATTCAGAAGAGGGCATGGAATGAGGGATATCATTGCTGATATCAGATAGATCGATCTTGGCTAAAAGCAAAGAATACCAGAAAGATATTTCCCTGTGTTTTATTGACTATGGAAAGTTATTCAACTGTGTGGATCATAAGAAACCATGGATAACATTGTGAAGAAAGGGAATTCCAGAACACTTAATTGTGCTCATGTGGAACCTGTACATAACCAAGAGGCAGTTGTTCGAACAAAACAAAGGGATACTGCAGGGCTTAAAATCAGGAAATGTGTATGTCGGGGTTGTGTCCTTTCACCATACTTATTCAGTCTGTATACTGAGCAAATAATCCAAGAAACTGAACTGTATGAAGAAGAATGCAGCATTAGGATTAGAGGAAGACTCATTAACAACTTGTGGCATGCACACAATACAACCTTACTTGCTGAAAATGAAGAGGACTTGAAATGCTTACTGATGAAGATCAAAGACTACAGCCTTCAGTATGGATTACACCTCAACATAAAGAAAACAAAAATCCTCACAACTGGGCCAATAAGCATGGCGTTCTGATGATGTCATTGTTAAGGCATTGGCTGCTAACCAAAAGGTCACTGGTTTGAACCCACCAGTTGCTCTGCAGAAGAAATAGGAGGTAGTCTGCCTCTGTAAAGATTGGGAGTCACTATGAGTTGGAATCATCTTGATGGCAGTGAGTTTGGGTTTTGGTTTGATGGACCTATAAGCCAATATCATGATAAATGGAGAAAAGACTGAAGTTGTCAAGGATTTCATTTTCCTTGGGTCCAACATCAATGCCCATGAAAGCATCAGTCAAGAAAACAAATGCTGTATTGCACTGAAAAATCTGTGCAAAAGCCTCTTTAAAGTGTTAAAATGCAAAGATGTTGCTTTAAGGACTAAGGTGCACTGACTCAAGCCCACGGTATTTTCAATAGCCTCATATGCATGCGGAAGCTGGACAATGAATAAGAAAGACCAAAGAAGAAGTGATGCCTTTGGATTATGATGCTGGTACAGAATATGGATCATGCTATGGACTGCCAGAAGAACAAACAAATCTGTCTTAGAAGAAGTACAGCCAGAATGCTGTTTGGAAGTGAGGATGGTAAGGCTTTGTCTCATGAACTTTGGACATGTTGTCAGAAGGAATCAGTCTCTAGAGAAGAATATCCTATTTGGTAAATATGTGAGTCATAGGGAGTCTGAGAATATAAGGAAGACCCTCAATGAGATGGACTGATACAGTGGCTACAACAATGGGCTCAAATGTAGCCATGATTATGAGGCTGGTGTGGGACCAGGCCTTCTTTCATTCTGTTGTGTTATGAGTCAATGGCATGTAACAACAACAAAGCACATTCACAATGGTGTACAACCATCACCACAATTGAGTCCCAAAACTTTCTATCACCCCAAACAGAAATTCTGTACCCACTAAGTATAATTCCTCCTTCTGCCCTCCTCTAGCCCCTGGTAACCTCTGATCTATGTCCAAACTCTAATTTCTATCTCTATGAATTTTCCTATTCTAAGTATTTCATGGAGTCCCTGTGTAGTGCAAACAGCACAATTGGCTGCTAACCAAAAGGTTAGAGGTTAGAATCCATCCAAAGGTACCTTGGAAGAAAGGCCTGGCAATCTGCTTCTGGAAAAATCAGCCATTGAAAGCTATGGAGCAGTGTTCTACTCTGACACACCTGGGGTATCCACCATAAGTTAGAGCTGACTCAATAGCAACTGTTTCCTGGTAGGTATTTTATAGAAGTGGAATCATACAATGTGTGTCCTGTTCTGGGATTCATTGTTCTTAACAAGTTAAATTCACCACTGCTGAGTTAGAAAAGGAACTTGGATGATGTAGTAAGTAAGGCATTTGGCTGCTAACCAGAAAATCAGAAGTTCAAACTCAGCAGCTGCTCTGTGCGAGGGAGAAGAGGCAATCTACTTCCGTAAAGATTTACAGCCTTGGAAACCCAATAGGGGTTACTATGAGTTGGAATTGACTCAATGGCAGTGGGTTGGAGTTAGAAGGCTTAGTAATTTTAATGGGATGGTCTGCATTCCTGAAGAAGGCATGATGTAATTGCTCTGCTAAAAATTCTGTGTAATGAGGGATCCTGGACCAGCCACTCAGAGGATTAGCAGATGTGTAGAGGGAAGGCAGACTCAAGGCATCATCCTCCCAACTCCCAGGCCTGGGACCAGTCCAAAAGAGTACCTTTCAGCAAACCTGCAGGTCCGTAACAACTTCTTGATATGAAAAAGCTTCTCCTGCATTTCCTAATATGAGAAACCAAACAGGGGGAAAGGGTTAAATTTTATACATGACACTGGAAATGTGTCTCTCAAATATAAACTCTTTCTTCCAAATGTCAATGCTTATTCTAACTTGAAATGCAAAGACTCTAAAGCAAGCCTTTGAATGACACCGTCTCTATAGCAGGGGTTCATTCAGAACTGAGTCCACAGACCTAGAAAAGGCCCAGGGTGGATTCAGGTTTTATGGAACCTGAATCTGACAAGCTTAGGAGCCCTCTTTAAGAAAAACACAGAACTAAGTAAGCACAGTGTCTTAAGCACTTGACTGCTAACCAGAAGGCTAACGGTTCAAACCCACCAGCCACTCCTCAGAAGGAAGGTTGTACAATCTACTTCTGTAATGATACCGCCTCGGAAACTCAAGGAGGGGTCGCTATGAGTCGGATCCAACTCAACTGCACATAACAACAAGAAGTATAAAAGCTGTGTCCCTGGGTGACACAGATCGTTAAGCAGTTAATGGCTAACTGAAAGGTTGGCAGTTCAAACCCACCCAAGAGGTGCCTGGGAAGATGGGTCAGGTGATCTGCTTCTGAAAGGTCACTGCCTTGAAAATCCTGTGAAGATGTTCTACTCTGCACACACAGGGCTGCCCTGAGTCCCAACAGACTGGAGGGCAACTAACAACAACGACAATATGTGTAAAACTATGTATCAAGACAAAATTCCATGCAGGGCCTTGGAAAAAGGCTGTGAAGCTTAAACGTCATTTGATTTACCATAAATCTGCCCCGTGGGGTGCTTGTGACCACACCCCAAAACTAATGTACTGTGTGTTTTCTGAGGCAGGACCTTTCCAGCGGGCAGGACGTGCTTTCTTGGTGGAAGCAGCTGCTCACCCTCACTCGGTCCAATTCCTTGGCTTTCGCATAGAGGCTGTGGCTGATTGTCAGCACATTGAAAATGGGCTGGTGCCATATGCTGTCCAGCAGCCTTTTGGAGAAATTGCTGACGTAGTACTTCCGGAAGTCCCACGTCATCAGGATGCGGGCAGGGATGCAGGACTCCGCGTATGAGTGGCAGCAGTCACAGAAATACTTCCCCAGATACTCGCAGTAGCGGAGCCGCTTCACAAACTCTGCAGAGCACAGAGGAGGGTGACCATCAGCACGTGACCCTGAAAACACACCCTTGGCCGGGGCCCCTCCCACTCCAATTCATACTCAAGGTGTGAAGACTCAGATTATTGTTTTCATGCTGCTAAGGTCATAACGTAACCTAATGGTGACTGGGAAAACTCTGGAAGGTGCTTGGTTGAAAATGGTCTTAAATTATGGACATTATGAGCTTTATACCAAACCAAAACCAAACATATTGCCGTGAAGTCAAATCTGACTCACTGCGACCTGTCCTTGGGTTTCCAAGGCAGTATCATAATGGAAGTAGATTGCCCTATCTTCCTTCTGAGAAGTGGCTGGTGGGTTTGAACCATCAGCCTTCTGGTTAGCAGTCAAATGCCTTAGGCACTACGTCACCAGAGCTCCTTTATGAGCTTTATGGATGCCAGTAAATAGAAACTAGTTGCCTTCAAGCCAACTCCTACTCGTGGCAACCCCAGATACTTAAGAGCAGAACTGTGCTTCACAGGGTTTTCAATGGCTGATTTTTCAGAAATAGTTCACCAGGCCTTTCTTCCGAGGTGACTCTGGGTGGAATTAAACTGTCAGGCTGTCAGGAGCCTAATGTATTAACTATTTGTACAACCCGGGGACTCCTCAGTAAATACATTCCTAGATTTAGAAGATGGACATTTGAAACTACAGATCGCATAAAAAGATAAGATTTGAGGTCTGGAAACTACATGGGAGTCCTGGTTCCATCTCTCCCTGGCTGGAAGTCTCAGTCCAGAATGTCTTCAGACCTCTGGGACCACAAAAAGCAGTAACAATAAAAAGTACCACCTAGGAGCTGGATGAAATGACATTATACATATGAAAAGCAACTTACAAACTGTAAAGCAAAGCACTACATACATAATGTTAGGAATTTTCATCCAAAAGACTTCCTGGATATATTGATGAGAAAAAAAAATACAAAACTGTATGAAGCATAGGAATAGGCAGCCCATGACAGAAGAAATACAGACAGCCACTAAAGATATGAGAAATGTTCAATCTCAGCAACACAGAAATGCACCTTGAAACAGTGAGATGCCATGCTTTCCCTCTAACTGTCAGGAGGGCATTTTGGTAATATGCTTGAAGTCTTAAATGTGCAACAGCAATCCTACTTCTGTGACTCCAGCAGACAGAAATGCTAATATGCACACATGGAGAATAGAAAGATGTTTATTGCAGCTCATTTATAATGTGGCTGGGAGTGGGCAACCTAAATGTCCATTAAGAGGCATCTGGTTAAATAAGTACATAATGCCATACAGACTATAAAGCACATGTAAGAGAGTGGAAAGTGGACATCCAAGTACAGATATGTGTACTATCTCTATTTTTGTTTTTTAAATATACATATACATACAAACAAAATCTAGAAGGATATCCACCAAAAAGCCAACAATGGACACTTATGTAGAGTGGAGGCAGAAGACATTTTTACTTTGCGCTTTCTATTTGCTAAAATGAACATGAATTGATTTGAGAAATATCTCTAACAAAATATTTTGACAAACAAAAAGTACAGAGACTAATGTGACAAATGCCTGTGTACCTACCACCAGCTTAAGAAAGACAACATGACAATTCCGTTGAAGCCTCCTATGTGCCCCTCCATCAACACTAGAAGTGAACATGAGTGAGTTTAATATTTATTGTTCAAGAATGGACTCATGTGTTTCCTTGCAGTTAAAATATCATAAAGAATGATACAAATATTAATATATATATTGTGAAGATTAAATGAAATAATAGATGGGAAAGCATCTCTGGTGGTATAGTAGATAAAGCATTTGGCTGCTAACCAGAAGGTCAGTGGTTCAAACCCATTAGCTGCTCCACGGAAAGAAGTTAGGACAATCTACTTCTGTAAAGATTTACAGCCTCAGAAACTCAATGGGGGTCACTATAGGTCGGAATCAACTTGATGGCAGTGAGTTTGGTTTTGGGTGGTGTAGTGCCTAAGGCATTTGACTGCTAACCAGAAAGCTGGCTGTTCAAACCCACAGAAGAAACTCCTCAGAAGGAAGGTTGAGCAAGCTACTTCCATAGTGATACCATCTTGGAAACCCAAGAAGGGGGTCGCTATGAGTCGGATCCGACTCAATGGCAGTAGGTAGGTATACATTCTAAGTGTGGGAAAAAAAAAAAAAAAAAACAGTTGCCATCAAGTTGACTCTGACTCATGGTGTATCAGAGTAGAGCTAGGCTCCACAAGGTTTTCAATACCTGATTTTTCAGAATTAGATCACCAGGCCTTTCTTCTGTGGCACCTCTGGGTGAAGGTGAATCTCAAAACGTTTGGTTAGCAGTGAAATGCATTAACTATTTGTACCACCTGGAGACTCCTATTCTAAACACAGTTTCCTTATAGAAATGACTTTAAATATAAACAAAGCCTGAGTGGCTGCACGAGCAAACCTTCACTGATCATAACTCTGTTCCTGGCTCAGGTTAAATGTGTTAAATACATTCTCATGCTGTGCTTGCAACACTATAAGGTAGGGACTATTATTTTCCTATTTCACCGACGAAAACACTAAGCAAGGTTAAAAAACAGGCCCAGGGACACAAAAAGCAGTAAGGGGAGAAGGCAGGATGCCAACCCAAGCCTGGACTGCAAAAGCTCTAGCTTGTAGCCATTGTGCCTAGCTTCTCTTTGGCTGCATTCTGTCTGAGAGGTGGAGGGAAAGGGAGAGAAGCTGATGGCTTTGCACTTGTCCAAATTATCCCTCCACTCATACTTAGAGTTGATATGTAAAAGCAAGTATCAAACCCTGGATTAATTATATGACATCCCTCTAGAGTTGGTAAATTACTGGTTAAAATTTTATTAAATTCCTAATGGCTATGTCTAAATCCTCAGATTTGAAGCTTTGAAAAGTCTGTTGTATCTATTTCCTATTCCTAGGAGCTCTGGTGGTGTAGGGCCTAAGGCATTTGATTGCTAACCAGAAGGCTGGTGGTTCAAACCCACGAGCCACTCCTCAGAAGGAAGGTTGGGCAATCTACTTCCATAGTGATACTGCCTTGGAAACCCAATGAGAGGTCACTGTGAGTCAGATCCAAATCAATGACAGTGAGTTAAGTAGTTATCTATTTCCCACCCTGGATAAAGATCTCTGAGATAGCAGACTATTGAGTATTTCTCTGCTTATGATAGACTTTCAATGCATTTTATATTAAATTAGGCAAAAGGTAGAGATATCCCCTGGACCCTGCATTCTACACTTCTGATCAAACCTAGCAAGATGGGAAGAAAATGGAGGACAGATGGACCAGGAAGTTTTCCTGATACAATTCATCTTTCCCCTAACATCTAAAACCTTACTATTTCAATATTCATTCATCACATCCCCATCTGTCAAATGTCAATAAATGAATACTAAGTCCCAGGCATTATACTCTCAATACAGAATAAATCACTTCCAATTCTTCAGATTTTCTCAGTCTTTAGTTAAAAGAAAACAAAGTATCCTAAACCAGTGGTTCTTGACCAGGGGCAGGGAACATCTAGCAATGTCTGGAGACAACTTTGCTTGTCACAATTAGAGGACTGCTTCTAGCATCTCATGAGTCAAGGCCAGGGATGCTGCTAAATGTCCTACAACACACAGGACAGCCTCTCACAACAAAGTACTGAGGGTGAGAAACCCTGCCCTAGACCAACACAAAAAATGTCATCTTGAAGAATTATATCTGATAGGGCGTGGTGAGCTTCATGACTCATAGCCATATCCTCTTAGGATAACCTTCCATATTAGCACTTGTGATTTTATTCATGACCTTATCATTTGTTTCTGTCCATCCTAAAGCAATATAAACAAACATATCTGAATAAAATCTGGGAGAAGAGAAAACACTACAACAAACCTACAATGTGGGACGTTCTATGAGACAATTGATCTTGTCTTATCAAAAGTCAGTGTCATGGGACAACTGAAAAATATATGTTTGGTGTGGCCACACACACACACATACACACACATGGAAATATATATATAACCAAAAAAAAAAAAAAACTCACTGAATGAAAATGGAACCAAAAGGGTAATAATGAGAATGCTCATGCATTGTCAAGAATGTAACCAATTCACTCAACAACTTGTTGAACAGGAGCCTAAACTGTTGTTTAAGCCTTCACCAAAAACACATTATTATTATTATTATTATTGTAAAGTCAATGTCATAGTGAAAACAGGTATGGGGAGAATAGTCTAGAGCAGCACTGCTCAACAGAACTTTCTCTGATGAAATAAATATTCTATGTCTGTATTGTCCAATGTGGCACCAGCCACATGTGCCCACTGAGCACTTGAAATGTAGTTAGAATGACTGAGGAACTGAGTTTTTAATTTTAATTAATTGAAATTTAATTTGAAGGCACATAGGTTTATGGCTACCATACTGGAGAGTACAGTTCTGTTGTTGATGTGTTAGGTGCTGTCGAGTCACCTCTGACTCCTAGCAACCCAATGTACAACAGAACAAAACACTGCCCAGTCCTGCACCAGCCTCACAATCCTTGCTATACCCAAGCCCATTGTTGTAGCCACTGTGCCAACCCATCTCATTGAGGGCCATCCCCTTTTTCGTTGACCCTCCACTTTAGCAAATCAGACAATGTCTCAGAGCTATTCGTAAAGTTTTCTAGTAATATATCAGACAGTGTTTCACGTCTATTCATAAGGTTTTCACTGTCCAATTCTTTGAGAAGTAGATGGCCCCTTCCTTCTTCCAAGTCTGTCTTAGTCTGGAAGCTCCACTGAAACCTGTCAACAATGGGTGACCCTGCTGGTATTTCAAATACCAGTGGCATAGCCTCCGGCCTCACAGCAATTTGCAAGCCACCACAATACAACAAACTGACAGATGAGTGGTGGGAGTATAGTTCTAGAATAAAGGTAACTAAAGGAACATCATAATAACTAAATGCAATGTGCACCCTTAATTGGTACCAGGATGGAAA